TTTACCAATTCCACCACGAAAATGAAATTTTGAATGAATTAGGTTTTAAATGAAATTCCTATATATGTTGAGATTCATTGAACTTTTCAATGGCATGTTTAATCTCGATTATGCCCTTCAATTTTGTGATTGGGATACCGGGGATCACAAACAAGGTGTGAATAACCATGCAAATAAGTTTGGTACTCTCGAAGTCATTTATCACCTAATCAATGTGCCGATTAGCCACACACACTCCATTGATCTATGATAACCTACGAGCTACCCATTGCCATCCTTCATTAGTCCCATATTAGTGCGTCGGTTACACGCTCCACTAACGAGCAATAAGGTACAATGTGCAATTTCATGGGTTAGCATCAAATTCACATTTTTCCTAAAGTAACTAAGATTGGGAATTTATAAAAGGTTTAGTTACTTTATATTTCATTATACTTTTAATGAGGATTTAAATGTCCTATCAATACCTTTCGGCTAACGACCCTCCACTGGTCAAGGGTGCGGTGGGTAAGAGTATATACCCAATGGCGGTCATTTTACAAGCTGTTTTTTTAAACTCCCCTTATAGACCAACTTTGTGAATGAGGCCTACTAACAGTAAGACTGACTTTTAACTTATACATATATAATATATTAGACTTTTAATTTTATATAGTATAAGGGCGTATTTTACACATTTAAAATACTAAGTGGTTTAATCTATTAATAAATTAGACTTTTTAATTTAATTAAACTTAAACCATGTCATTATGAATTTATTAATTTTCTCTTTTAATTAAAAACATAATTAATTTAATAAAACCATAAGGATGTAATTTGAACTATTCAAAATATCAAGGTTCTAAATTTAAGATTTCAAAATTAAGGCTATTTAATTAAATTTTAAGTTACAAAACCAAAAGGTGCACTTTTAAACCTTTTCAAATTTCTAGGGTTTTAGAATTTAATGTTTCATAATTAAGACCTTTTAAATTCCAAAACTTGAGGGCAAGTTTTGAAACTCTTCAAAACCTTTTGGATTCCAAAACTTGATGAAAAGTTTTGTAACTCTTCAAAGCCATTTAGATCAAATTTTAAACCACTAAAATAATCACATATTTTTATCATTTACCAATTTGATCTAATTCAACTCATATAACAAGATAATTTCAAATCAAATAATACAAATAATTAGCTTATCATATAATCTAGTAATTATCTTAAAATTTGACAATTTATCTTTTAATTGCATGAGGATAGTCACCACCATATCAGAAAATTCAGATTTTATGATATAAAATAGTTTATGGTATTGAACCTAATCCAATTCTGGCCAAAAAAACATGAAAATCTGCAAACAGATGATCCAACTCATCGAGTCAGGCAATGGACTCATCGATTTGGCTCAACTTGGGATCAAATCGTCGAGTTCCTTCATAGGACTCATCGAGTCCACCAGGCAGAGAGCAAATTTCATTTTTCTTCAACTTTGAACAATTGCATCAATATAACAGAAAACACCCTAGGCTCTAATACCGCTGAAGGGTTTAGAGCACTATAACAAGCCAATGGTGCACATACAACCCTAAATGCATTGGATCTAAGTTTTATCTAGATATACATGCAATTTTCGTTTTCCAAAGCATGAAGCCTAACTAGCATACAATATTGATATTTGAAACATAAAAACGAGTTAGATGATTACCTCTTTGTTATAGCTCGTAGAACTTGGTCTTACAAGAGCTTAGCATCTCAAATGTGATGCCTCAAATAAGTCACAAAACACCAAGAACAAATGGAGGATTACGAGAGAGGTTTAAGAGGCACCTAAATCGTATATTTTCTTTTTAGAATACATGTGTGTTGATTTTAAGGGCTTAGGGGTTACATATATAGTGTAAAGTTCCAAGGGTCACTTGTAAACCCTAATTCATTCACTTAGGCTTTTGATCTAATAACTCATTTTGAATAACACTTCATGGACTCTCACATAAGCTTAGTCCATCACTAATCAATCATGGATAATTAGCCCAAACTATATGTATCACTGATTTACATAATCAGCCCTTGTTAATTTAATCAGTCTCTTTTGATCACCAAATTAATTGTTGATCAATACCAATTAAATAATATGATTTCTCAAGTAATATATTATTCTTATAATATATATAAATCATAATTAACCTATTTCTCAAATATCCTTCTTATCAAATTGCTCCAATGAATGCAACCCAGATAGACCATGCTACTATCGGGTCAAGTACATACCAATTATAGTTATGGACTTAGACACCTAATCCAACATTATCCACTTCGGGGATGCGGATAAAAACCTCTAAACATCAATAAATTTGAAATACTTTTTAGTATCAACAAAATATGTTTTAAGTGCCATCTTGAAAATGTGTTGATTGTTTTCCCCTCTTTTCCGTTGAGTAAGCAAATTCTTTGTAAATGTCGTTGAATTTAGTAACCGAATTGTTCATCTCTCGAAACTTGCTACAACAATGGTGTTTTGTACGGTATTCCCCACGACCCATGACACTAAAAAACGGCTCCATAATGCGTGGCCAAAAGTGCTCATCTTTTTGCGTATTTTCGGTTTGTGAATCCTCAGAAATGTCGACCCATGACTCGCCTAATGTCACCTCTTCATCCGGTTGTCATTGTTGAGTCGGGGGCTTCTCTTTTACCAAAATCGACGTTTTCTTTCCCACATCTTTTGCCGTTGGATGGTTAGGCTTGTGTTTCGTGAAAAATGTCATATTGGTTTTCGGTTACCGGTTCGGGATTGGGTTGTGTTTCTCGTACAAATTCAACATCTGAGATATATTCAGGAAGCGGGGACCAATTTCGAAACATGTTTAGGCTTGGAGGTTCCATGGCGTAATAGTAAACTTGTTGGGGACGAGGTTGGGATCGGGGCGAAATCATGAATGAATCAAATTAGGGTCGGTATACCGACGTATCCAACAGTCGAACATTTGGACGTGATTTGCCTCGAGCGGTAAATTGAGGGTTTTTATTGGATTCATTATTTTGGAAAAAATTGGTTTGAAAACTTGTGGAATTGAAAGTGTTGTGTGTGATATGTGTAAGGTATGATTTTAATTTATAGTTGAATTATTAAGAAAAAATTGAAAAGCTGACCGTTGTCAACGGTCAAATGGCTCAAATAGGGAAATGAACTACGCTAATATCACCTCCACCGGTAAGGATATCGAGTGCGGTAAGGGGGTCGGAGTTGAGTTTGTCGCACGCTGCGACACCAAATTAGCTACTGCGGTGTGCGGTAGATATGCACCGACCGACCTAATGATGGTGACCACAAATGCTACTATGCCTAATCTGATACATTTCTTTTTGTCTTTTTATTTATGTCTTATATAACCTATCTTTTTTCTATTGTTTTGTAGTTTAAAAGCCTTTAATATAATCATTAAAGATCGACAATATTGTTTGACAAAATTCTTCTGGGTGTAAAATCTTGTAGGATTTTAAAGAAGATCAAGAAAACATGGTGCGATGTGTGATAAAATTCTTGATACCAAAATATGGTGTTACCACACCTCCTCAAGCACCCAGATCAACCGATGTAAATTTGTTTTTTTAGGATTTTTTTAAGTAAATTGGTCATAACCAATAAGATTTTATATATATATATATATATATATATATATATATATATATATATATATATATATATATATATATATATATATATATATATATATATATATATATATATCCTCTCTAATAAAAGTTTTTTTTTTTATTTGTCACTTTCATTCAATTTTGTCAAATATCATTTTGTGGTTATTTGAATTATTTTTTTTTCCCACATTTCATTTTATGAGTTTTTCTATTTTATTAAACTTCACATAATTATTTAATGTAATAATTGCAATAAATGTAATGATAAATGTATATCAATTTCAGTAAAAAATTTACTTTTTAATTTCAAAATTCCTAAAATTAAAGCTATTAGTTTATTTTATTTATTTAAATTATTTGTTTAAATTTAAAAGATAAAAAACATCTTAATTATAATAACTCATTATTTTTCTTATAAATTTCATAGTTCTCAAATATTTTGACTTTTATTTTTTATTTTCATTTTTAAATTAACTCATGTAATATATAAGTCTCACAACTAGTATATATATATATATATATATATATATATATATATATATATATAAGTCCGGCTCTTTGAAATTGAGTCCCTTGTATGGAGAATAGAAAAAGGGCCCTTAAATATAAGGAAACTAATTAATTAAAAAATTAAAATGAAAGCAAAGGAACTAAGATTCCAACCCACATCATTTAGGTATAAGATAAAGCAACACTTTAAATCCAGTTGAACTACAACACATTTTGTTATTTAACTAGTATATATATATATATATATATATATATATATATATATATATATATATATATATATATATATATATATATATATATATATATATATATATATATATATATAAAACAAGATGCAAAATAAGCATCTTTCTGGAAATAGTGATTTTGCTTTTTATCATTGTAGATTTTTACACCTACACTTTTACCTTAAAAAAAAGTTTTGGTCTAATAGTTTTAGCATATCATAATTTTAAAATTAAATTATTAATATTTTATAAGATGCGATTTAGACCCTTATTTTATATATATATATATATATATATATATATATATATATATATATATATATATAGGCTTTATTAACTGTAAAGGAGTTTCCTTGGCCAATGCAGAGAGTGATGACTTATATACTAGTTCTAATCTATATGGCTTTAAAAGCTATTTATAAATGATGTGTGAGTCTTGGACTAAAAATGTTTAAAAACAATGAAATATGACCGAAAGTATAAAAAAAGATTTTTTATGGACAAAATCCAAAAAATGAGTACAGGACCGGAACTGTAATTTACTTATCCTTTAAATACACTCAAATGTTTTAATACCCTCACAAGTCACAACTATTCAGAACCAAACAAAAGGTTGAATTCAAGAAAATGGCACAAAAAAGGTACTCCTAAGTCCTATCTCTCTCATGCTTCGAATATATAAAGGGAGATTGTATTTTTATATCTTTTAAATCTATTTGCATATGCTTGAAACCTTTTGATTGACACATCAAAAATGTCTTTATGGATTCTATCGTTTGAAATTAACTGATTGACACATTAAAGTTTTCCAAAAGTGATTCTATATAATTGATAGCTATATAAACTTTTTTCTTATTTTTATATTCTTTATTATGGTTAACATTGTATTTGAAAACCAATTGTTTTAAATTGCTGGAAATTACCAATAAATCCAAATAATTGTGTAGAAAGGGACTTATATTTTTGTTTTTTGATAGTAATTACATGTAATACCAGATCCTTTATAATTATACATTTTTGGCACAAGTCTAAAACTTTGTTATAAATTTGGTTAAAACTTTTTTCTTTTACAAATCCGTTCTAAATTTTGTTTTTTTTTTTTCAAATTTATTTTGGAGGTCTCTTAAAAAAAACTATCCAAAGTCTTAGTAAAAACATGATTTCAATCACATCAAAACCTTTAATATTTATTTTAATAAAATTAATATTTTATTTATAAAGTTATTGTTTTAAAAATCAATTCCATAAATTATAAAAAAATCATATTATTAAAATAATTTTATTTTGTCTTTATTTTTCCTATTTAAAAATCTTTAACTTTTATATTTTTTTTTTGTCGAACATACTATTAATGTTGTGTTCTATTTATTGTTTTGATATTTTATAAGTTTATATTATGGGGATGTTTGGTTTAGCTTTTCACAGTCTTAAAGTTCTTTTTGAAAAAGAAAAAAAGCAAAAGATGTTTGGCAAAACTAGTTTTAAAAGCTAATTTTTGAGTTTTTTTTCAAGGAAAATGAACTTTTTGGAAAAATCAGAAAATCCTGATTTTTTGTAACTTTTACAAAAATGACTTTTAGACTGTGAAAAATTAAACCAAACACCCCCTATATAATGTTATTTTTTGACGTTTTGTTCGAAGATACACATAGACGATTGTCGATAATCCAGTACAATTACTTAACATTAGTATTTATTTTGACGTTCTTATTATTTTTATGTTTGTGTTTGTCTGTGGCTTATATGGTTCTTTTTTAAATGAATGAACTTATATGGTTTCAAAGAAATACTTTCCAAATATCCAAACATTTAATAATTAATATCCTAATCCTTGATAGAAATACATATTCGACTATATATAGGTTAATCCAAAACCGACTTTTAAAACATCGGATCATCCAAAATCATAACTTTTCTTTAAAACTTAGGAGTGTTAGTTCGTAAAAAAATAAGTGTAAATAAATATGTTAAACATGAAAAATATAAGTAAAAATTTGAAACATTATAAAAAAAAAAAAAAAAAATTAGACAAAAATTAAAAAGGCTACAAAATTTAAAAAAAAAAAATGAATCGGGTAAGTAAAAATGTTCAAATGGTAAGTTGCAAAAAAATTTAAAAGTTTGAAACGTCAAAAGTTTAAATAGTAACTTATATTTTTTTTTTTCAAAATATTTATAATTTTTTTAAGTATTTTAGACATGTCTTTTGTAAACTTTTTTACAACCATTTTTCGATTTCTCTTCAAGTTCTTCACAAATTATTTGACAATTGTTTTAAAATAAATCAATTTTTTACGAATGGTTTTGAACTTTTAAATCTTTATAACAACCTTTTTAAACTTATTCTGTAATCCTTTTAAAACCCTTTTACACTCACATATCACAAAAACTGACACCACATTTACCATAGTCCTCACACAAGATGAAGTGATGAACGTCGACTCTCCACCACTTCGTATTTGCCTATACCTTCTCGGCTTCACCAATAGCTTCTCGCAATCTCGTATTCTCCTTCATTTGTGTTTAGTTGTTAGCGCTGCTGATCGAATGTGAGATTATGAAACAAAAGCTTTTCTCTTTTCCCTTACCCTTCCTCCCTTTCCCTTTGCCCTAAAATCACATATCACAAATCATTATATTGGACTTTTGTTCGGTGAATCTCCTATGTGGTCTTTTTTAACTCATGTTAGTCATTTAGAGGTAATCGAGAAATGGGTTAACTTGTTGTAATATGCGTCAAATTGTCAAATTGTCAATATGTTTGTGTAATCTAATTTTTTTTTTTTTATAGTAGACTAGTAATAGTGTAATCTGATTTTTTTGTGAACTCGTATTAGACAGTTAACTTGTTGTAATTTGTGTCAAACTTTTAATATGTGCCGTAGCGGATCTAGCCCGCTCCACAATTTTTACTACTAAATAGCCCTCCAAAAATTTATGTTATACTAAAACTTCCCTCTTTGGCACCTACTTTTACTTTAAATGCCGTTATTGATATTTTTTTTTACTTCAAAAACCCAAAAAATACGTTATATTTTCAGAATTTTATAATTTTTTGGACCCCGTTTAGTTTATGTGTAATATGATTATGTGTAAATTGTAATCTGATTATGTGTATCAGTTTATGTGTAAATTGTAATCTTTTATAGTGTTATGTGGTTAACTTTAATTGGTTACTAATAACAGTGTATTATATGTAACCCAAATCTAACCCGCCAACCAGTGATCTATATTATTATATGGGTCATGTTCAGGTTGTTGTATTCTGATCCGCCAACCCGAACCCGATACAATTGCCACCCCTAGTTGTTAACATGTTAATAATTAATATATGTGAATAATGAATATAAATGATAAGTATCAATGTGAATGATTGTTTATCTATATTTATAGAATTTACATATGAATTCAAATAAATATTGACTTTCACACATGAATTTGACTAAATTCATATGTAACTTTAAATATTTCACTTGAAATTCTTTTTGAAAATTGCAACATTTTGTTTACGCACAAATGAATTTACTAAGATTTACAAGTGAAATTACTCAAATTCATATTAAAATGATCAAGAAGTGTTGCAAAAATTGGGTACACTTGACATTTTAGATATAGTTTAGATTCATAACGTGAATATGAACGGACTAAAACTAAAAAAAGAATAACTCATATTTATATGTGAATATGAACGAGCCCCGGTCTATGGAACAACTCAATATATGTATCAATATAAATGTATACTTATAAAGGGAAAAAAAAAAAAAGAACAACTCAATATATGTATCAATATAAATGTATACTTATAAAGGGAAAAAAAGGTTCTGTTCTATGGAAAACAAATCTTAAAAAATATGAATTTTGCTATATTTGCGTTTTTTTTAATGGAATTTTGCTATATTTGCTATAATAGTAGTCTTCATCAATGGTTCAGGATCGCTGTTGTTACCGGTGGAAACAAAGGCCTTGGTTTAGAAATATGCAAGCAATTGGCTAAAGATGTCATGGTGGTGTTAACTGCGAGAGATGAGAAGAGGGGCACCGATGCCGTTGTCGAATTGCACTCCTACGGTTTATCTGATGTAGTCTTTTATCAGCTAGATGTCACATTTCCGGCTAGTATTGCTTCCTTGGCTAATTTTGTTGATACTCGGTTTGGAAAACTCAATATATTGGTAACAATTTTGAAACACCACTTTTTGTTTTCCGATTAGCTAGTTCTAGGGTTTAAATTCGAGTTTCGTTCAAACTTGTACTCATTTGGTGTTGCTTGATATATTTGTATTAAATACGACATAGAAGTATGTTTTACAACTTAGATTAATGGAACAGGTGAACAATGTTGGAGTGATTACTAATAACATTGACGAGGAATTCTTTTCGAATTTTAACCTTCTAACTGAGGTAACTTATGTTCGGTTATATAAACCATGCTTTTGTTCATCTTATTTTATTTTGAAACAACAAATCTAATCTACTAGTATTTACTTCTAATTTCACATATGTCCTAGATGGGACTTGAACCTTCGTCCTAAGAAAGGATGGCAACACCTGATACTGTTGGGTTAGTAGCCCTTTGGTATTACCATCTTATTGATCATATGAAAAGTTAAAAATCAAAAGACTTCTTAAGTTCTACATTTTTATCATCTAATATCTAATTGCATGTTTGTATTACCAAGATAGGCGGTGAAAAACTTTATTATATTTGTTTCATGATCATTTACCGGACAATCAATCTAAAAATATGTAAATGATTGGGCCTATCTTTAACTGTGATATAGAAAATTGGTGAAAAGGCTTATAAAAAGGCTTATGAAAAGGGTACGCAGTACTCCAAGAAAGTTGTACCACAAACATATTAAGGAGCGCGAAAGTGCTTGGAAACCAATTATTATGGAGCTAAACATGTCACTCAAGCCTTGCTACCGCTTCTTCTTAAATCTACCTTTCCAAAAATAGTCAACATCTCATCCAAACTAGCGCAACTACAAGTAAGCTAATTACCCTTTCCTCTAAGTTACTTTTTAAAGCACTATATTTTATGCATAAGAAAAATTAAATATCCTCCTACTTTTTCTTTCTATCAATCTTCCTTGGCATATAAAATAATAAAATATGGAATCCACTAATCTCTCTTTTAATCTTCTTATTTTATTTTGACACTTGCCTTGATCTAGTGAGTAGCGAGATAGGTAGGAACAAAAGGTAGGAGGATGTTTGATTTCTTTATACATAAAGTATAAGGAAAAGATATGTTGATTGTTATAACTTTTTGGTAGTTTTGTTATCCTTTTTTTTTCTTATAGTATGTTCAAGATGAAGGTGCAAAGAAGATTCTAAGTGATGTTGATGGACTCACAGAGGAGGTGGTAGATGGGCTTATGAGTGAGTATTTAAAGGATGCTAAAGATCAGGAATCGATGGAAAAGAAAGGGTGGTCTAATATTGTTTCAAGCTATGTCATATCCAAAGCAGCTCTTAATGCCTACACCGGGATATTAGCTAAGAAATATCCGTTTCTATCTGCGAATGCAATTACTCTTGGTTACCTTGCGACAGACTTCACTAGTTCTAAAGGAATTTTCACGGTTGAAGAAGGTGCTAGAGGGCCTGTGAGACTAGCTTTGATCCTTGGTGGAGGCCCTTCGGGTCAATACTTTTTTCAAATGGAAAAATCAACATTTTAATATGAAGAATAAGTATAATGCTAGAATCTATATGTACTTGAAAGCTTGGATGCATGACTGCTAAATAGTTCAAATAAAACGGAAAAAATAAGTCGGTAGTATTTATTTATAAAAAGTTATGTATTACCTTGTTGTTCTATTATTTTGATTGAAAAAAAGACGAATATGAAAATGCTCTTTCTGTCTCGGTAAGTTTTGTATTCCATTCTTGTTAAAGTGGAGGTTTCATTGATCGTGGAAATTTTTTTTTTGCTAGATGTATAATAATAGAGAAATTAAATTGTCTCCTACCTTTTATTCCTACAATTATTCCTACCCACTAAAATTATGACAAATTACCATTCAATTTAATTGTATTTGATATATTCCTAATATAGTCTTAATGATTTAGTTTAAAAAATATGGAAAGATGACACTTATCATAATTTTATTGGATAGAAACATTTGTAGGTATAAAGGTAGGAATCAATTTAATTTCTCATAATAATATTAAGGGGTAAATCATTCTAATCGAGTGTTTATGGACTATGGTGATTGAAAATGGACAATAGACCCAAAAGCCTGATCTGGTCAAAGCACGGTCAACCCAAGCATGGTGAAGGGGTGGCCCAAATCCCTTCTAAAAACCAACATATTAAGGCCCGTATAGGTTTTGCTGGATGTTTTGAGAAAGTTTTTCTTTTCATGTCCATTTAAATGTCATTGTAGCTAATTTACTTATATAGCATCCTATTTCACTTTTATAATGAACAAATACATGAAAGACAAAAGTTACATAAATGGTCCCTGTGGTTGGTGAAAAAAATACCACCAGAAGTCCTTAAGGATATTTTTTTAACATGGCTGGTCATTGAGGTTCTAAAATCTTGGACCATCTCTTTTTTGCGGTTTAATATGTAAAAATGTCACATTTACCCATTTTTAATATTTTTCTTATTTTTAAAAAAAAAATTAATTATTTCTTATTTTCTCTTTTAAATCATAAAGAATGAAGGAGAATGCCAGCTTATTAACGAGTTGTGGAGAGGCCATAATTTACTACGATGTGTGGCACAAGGACATGATAGGAGGGTCGTGTTTTTTTATAGAAAAGAGAGATGAGAGGGGGGGGGGGGGGGGAGATCCCTGGGGTATGAGGATTTGTGTTCTAAACTCAATACATCTCCATGTTTTTCAAGCTTTTCTTCGCCGGCATAGGAGACTCCGACAAAGAACTTTTACTGAGATTAATTCCAAGAACACAACGATCATGAGTTATTTAAACGTGAAACAACCATTTCACATGCCCATCTCATATTTGAAACGGAACTAAGTATTTCAGATAGTGGATTTTGGTATCCAAATATGTATCTAAATTTTCAGATACAAATTCGGATACCAAAATCAAATATCCGAAAATCACTTGTTTTGATCATTTTAAAAATCAATCCACTTATAATTCCTAATTTTTTTAGAACAACAAAATATATAAATAAAAAACAAGCTAGCTAGAGGCTAGCAAAGAATACAAAATTAAGGCATCAATGGATTACGCAACCACGTATTCCAATTATTGGAAGTCTTCTTGTTCCTATAGGTGAACCAACGAAAAGATAAATCTAATATTCTATCAAACAAAAACTGAATTTTGCACTTAGAAGGGCAAAAAATAATTGCATTCCTATAGGACCATATAACCCAAAGCACCGTCAAGCACACCGCCTCCAAGATCAGCCAAACCCTTCTAGCCACCTGCGAAGTATCAATCCAATTGATAAATTGATACTGATCCACAAAACCTGGAATCGCCAAATCCAACCACAAACCAACTCTATTCCAAATTTGACAAGTCAAATCGCAATGAAAGAATAAATGAGCCATATCCTCTTGAGCATTTTAACAAAAGGGCAAAGAATAGAATCCAACTCTACACCTCTTTCCACCAGAAGCTTTCTAAGAGGTAATCTCTACAGTAAAAGGCGCCAAAAAAATATATTAACTTTTAAAGGCACATAAGAATTCCATCTAGTACCAATTCCTTCCACTAGAAGGGTAGCATTGTCAATGTCTCCTAACCGACTTAACCAAGAAACACCTAATGGGATCAAGATCCCAAGACCACTTATCTGGGGTAGCAGACAACACCACTGAGGACAAAATAGACAAAAGATTATCTAATTACAGAGATTCAACCTCACCTCTAATTGGCCTACGCCAAAAGAAACTCCAACCCGTAGCATCCCCAAAATCACAAACTTTACCAAGTTTGAGAAGAGAGAGGGCATACAATCTGTGAAACACAGATTTGAACACGACTCCACCACAGCAAGCATCCTCCCAGAATCTCGCAATAGACCCATCACCTAGGACAATAGACATAACATTTTTTTTAACCACATCCTGATCATGGAGTTGATTAATAGAGGCTACAATTTTCTCCCATACCCCACCTCTATAGGGCCGAGACCTACCTAATAAAGTCCCCGAATATCCATACAACCCCTTAATAACTTTCACCCATAAAGAACCTGTTTCATTAAAAAACCGCCACTTCCACTTGTACAAGAGAGCATGATTGAAAGCATCTAAGCTACTAATATCAAGGCCACCTTTATCTCTAGAATTTAAGACCACATCCTATTTCACCCAATGAATATGCCTCTGACCTTCTTCCATCCCCAAAAAAATTTAGCTCTACAAGATTCCAACACATGACAAATAGTAGCAGGTAGTCTAAACAAAGAGAAGAAATAGATACCAAGGCTTCCCAAAACAGATTTGATCAAAGTGAACCGACCACCAAAAGAAAGAAGCTTAACTTTCCAATTAGACAACCTCTTACGAAAACGATCAACAACCACATCCCAACTACGCACTCGTGTCATAAACCCACCCACTGGAATCCCATGATAAGAAAAAGGGACAAAAGATGCAGCACAACCCGTGAAAGAAGATAGGGAAGCAACTTACAAATCAGCCACTCCAACCCGCATAAGGCTAGATTTAAAGAGATTAATCTTTAAACCTGACACCATAAAGAAACACCTACGGATAATAATAAGATTCCTAACATTTCTCTCTTCCCAATCACCCATAAACAAAGCATCATCCGCATAAAAAAGATGGGACAAAAACAAATTGGAATTCCCCACTCTCACCCCCCGAAAAATACCTGAAGCAACAGCATCTTCCATAGCAACATGTAAGCCTTCCATAGCAATAATAAATAAGAAAAGAGATATAGGGTCTCCTTGCCTCAAACCTCTAAATAACTGGAATTCATCAGTAGGGCTTCCATTAAGTAAGATAGAGGATTTCGAGTTTTTAAATAACCCCCTAATCCATAAACGCCACCAGATCCCAAAGCCCATAAACTGCATAATCTGGTCCAAATAATCCCAGCTAACCGAATCATAAGCCTTCTCAAAATGAACTTTGAAAATGAGAAACTTCATCTTTATCTTCTTATACCAAGAGATCAATTCACTCACCATAAGCGAGCCATCAAGGATCTGGCGACCCTTAAAAAAAGCAGATTGCTCCACCCCGATAACACCAGGAAGAAACAGAAGCCAATCTTTTAGCTAATAACTTAGAAATAACTTTAAATTGCATCCCGATAACTCTAATAGGCCGAAAATCCTTAACCAGTAAGGGATTATCAACCTTCGGAATGAGAGTAATAAAAGAAGAGTTACACCCCACAGGAATAATAGGTTTGAAATAAATTCCTGAACAAAGCCAATGACATCAGACCCTAACACATCCCAAAAATGTTTAAGGAATTTGAATGAAAACCCATCCGGACCGGAAGCACGGTCCCCACCACAATCCCACACAGCTTCTTTAATTTCATCCGAAGAGGAAGGTTCTTCTAAAAACGAAACCGCATTAACCCCGAGATAAGAAAACCAACTGCTTTTATTGGACATCTGAATGTTATGAAAGCGTTTGAATTTAGAAGAATAATAATTAAAAAAAATCTTTTTTAACAGAAACTGGATCCGACACCCATTCTCCGCCAACCGAAACCCCACGAACCAATAATTGCCTTTTTTTATTTTTTAACATACCATTAAAGAAAGTAGAATTCTCATCCCCTTCAACCAACCATTGTACTTTAGCCTTTTGAGCCAAATCAGCAGCATCAACCTTTTGTAAACACCCAAGTTCCCCAAACTCGTCCACTCATTAACCAAATAAATGAAGAAAGCCCACCATCAATAGAACTATCAATATCAGCCAGCTGAGACTCTAGCTGCACCTTTTTTACTTCACGAACCGCGTTAGTCCTAAAGTATCAATCCCAAATCTTATTCTTAAGGAACTTGAGTTTATTTTTAAACAAAACAAACTTGCTCCAGTGTTGCTGAATAACAAACTCAGTAGCACAGCCACGAACCAAATCATCAAAGCCCTCCATGCACAACCAAGAATTAAAGAATTTAAAAGATGTAGAACCATAATCAACCTTCAAATCATGAAGCAAAATAGGACAACGATAGGATAACTTTCTATCTAGAGCTACCACCTACAAACCTTGAAACCTATCAACCACTGCTTCAGAAACCAAGAACCGGTCTAATTCCTAATAATTAAGTTAAATATAGTATGTACGATGTCTTAACGTGGAATTTCTTTTGCATAATAATACATTAGTCACTAGTATGTAAAGCTTAAACCATTTTCACCTAATCAAATAGAAAAATAAGAACAATCAACAAATTATTATCTATCCACTAAGGACTACATAAAATATTTTATTTTTCATAACCTTCTTTAAATTAATTAATCATACAAGAGTTGGGTATTTTTTTTATTAGTAATAGACACTTTACACACTAACTAACATAAATATTAATAGCAAACACTAAACAGTAAATAAAATATAAAAAAATGTAGAACTAGGAATAACCGTGCAGCCTTAAGATAAATTCCTCCTGTTACCTATTATCATTTTGAAAAAATTAAAATGTAAAAAAAGTTTTAAAAAAATTATTTTCGGATATCGTTCATTTGTG